CTCGGTAGGAGATGCAATACCAGATCAAGATGATCTCCAAACTGGTGTATCAGACCTTCACGAATCATTTCATTGTACTGGTCATCCCCAGTATAATGCCAGTAGTCTAGCAATGTGCCAAACATGGCGCCTGCCTGCCACCAGTAATATGGTGGGTACAAGATACCTGGGTAGCCTCCAAGCACATGGATGCCCTTGTCGTCAATTGTCGCATATTGAGCGACAAGTTGTCTGGCGACCTTGCTGGAAACATCATTGATAGAATCTGTGACAACGACATCAACTCATGTAAATGTGTATGGGGTTGAGCGGACATAAGCCCTCACCTAGGGAGTTTGGGTCTAGAGTTAAAGCCTGAGTAAGTGGTCGCACGACGTCTGATGATAGCAGAGAGAGTGCCGCTAGCGCTCGCATAGGACTGAACAACCTCATGACCGCATGGAAGATGTAACTGGAGTGATGCTAACGAGTGGAGACCCAGGATGTCAGGTGTAGCCTGGTGGTAATATTACACTATGTTACTTCGGAAAAGAAACGAGCGAAAACAGGAACCGGCGAGGCAACTAGTCGGGTGACACGAGGGTAGAGGGAACGAGAGGGAAGAGGAAGATGTGAAAGAGGGACACCAGGAGTGAGAGACGGCGAGATGACGAAGAAAGAGTGGACGGGATCGACGGGGAAGCATCTGACAAGGAATACCAACATGCCATGTGCCCGATGGAGCAAAGTTGGAGCTATTTACGATGACGGCTGGTGTGCCACAGGGCTGGACACCTAATCCCGTATCCTGAGCGTCAGCAAATCACCTTGCGTGCGCCCGCTCTCAGCGGCCTCCCTTCCCACCTACGACAGGCAGGACAGGGCCCAAAGTGGAATACGCGAACCTAGCCGGGCCGCCACCATTATCAGCAACTCGGCTCCGGAAACTTACATGAGGGGAACCTGGCTAGGACCTCAAAGGGGAGTTCGCTTGCAAAAGTCTATTCGGCTAGGAAGGCTGTTTGGTTCCGGCATCCGAAAGAGATTTTAATGGGTAGTAGTCATGCTGGTCCCACGTTGAAGATGGCTTGAAACAAAAGAGGGGACCACAACGTTGGGCGGGGCGGGGCGGTTGGCAGGGAACTGTGGCGCAGGGCCGCCTGTCTGCCTTGGGCTGGCCAAGGATTCATGCCTTGCTTTGTGTATAGTGCCTGCATTGACCTGTATATTGGTCACGTTACAGCGGAAACGAGACGGAAGATACATACAGAGGTATAGAGTAGAGCGTGACACTTGTGTAGCTACAGAACATGTCTGGTTGACATCTGCTTCGCCACAGATACAAGCGTTTTCCAAGCATGCTTGCGCCGTCTTGAAAGGGCCTGTCATCAGTCTTGACAAGCGCATGCCAAGTCGCACGGAAGCGGCGGACGTCAGGGTTTTTGTGGGGAGCGGAAATTGTGATCGAATCCGCTATGCAGCGACAGCACCACAGTTTTCGTACCACCACCATGAAAATCACCAGCAAAGACGCAAAGATCAGATGGAGCTGACGACGAAGTAGTGAATAACGCGCGTTCTCAAATTTCGCTTTTCTATCAATATCCCTTTGTTTTTGTTGATTACATCCTGAACACGCCCCATGTGCTCTCCTTGTCGACGCGCTGATTCTGCCCACCGCATGCCATTTGCAATCCCATGCCGAGTACCCGCCGAGTGTGCTCCGGCGGTATGATTCCATCGTCCCATAGCCTGGCCGACCCAAACGTTGCTTCACTTTCGTGTTCGATTCGTGCCTTGAGCGCAGGATCCACCTTCTTGCCAACAGCCTCCATGACCGACGAAAGCTGCTCTGCGCCCATGACCGATGTCTTGGCATTCGGCCAGGTGAACATGAGCCGGGGCGAGTATGCTCGGCCACTGCAAGTAAAGCGTTAGTATTAAACAGACGCCAAAAGTCTAAATCGGATGACACTTACCACATGCCGTAATTTCCAGCTCCAGCACTAGATCCCACCACTACCGTGAACTTGGGAACGTCAACACAGCTTACAGCTGTCACAAGCTTGGCTCCGTTCTTCGCAATGCCACCCTTTTCGGCATCCTGTCCGACCATGAAGCCAGAGATGTTTTGCAGGAAAATGAGTGGGATATGACGCTTGCCGCATAGCTGAACAAAATGTGCACCCTTGAGTGAGCTTTCGCTGAAGAGAATACCATTGTTGGCGACAATGCCGACTGGGTGTCCGTAAATCTTTGCGAAACCAGTTACCAGCGTTGACCCGTACAGAGGCTTGAACTCGTCAAACGACGATCCATCGACGATGCGTGCAATCACCTCGTGGATGGGTATCTGTCGGCGCAGGTTGGTACCTACAATGCCAGACAGCTCCTGAGGGTCATACAACGGCTCCTGATAGCTCGGCTGCGCAGTAACGGTCTGGTTGCGGTGCCAGTTGAGGTTACCAATGCTTCTTCGTGCCAGGACGAGCGCGTGCGCGTCGTCAACTGCTAGGTAGTCCGTGACACCGGAAACCTCGCTGTGGAGCTTACCTCCGCCGAGATCCTCAGCTGAGACGACTTCGCCCGTGGCTGCCTTGACGAGAGGTGGTCCCGCAAGGAAGATGTGACCTTGGTTCTCTACGATAATGTTCTCATCACTCATGCTAGGCACATAGGCGCCACCTGCTGTGCATGGTCCCATTACCACACTGATTTGCGGGATTCCCATGCTTGACATGCGCGCCTGGTTGTAGAAGATGCGACCAAAGTGATTCACGTCGGGGAAAACATCGGCTTGGTTGGGAAGATTGGCGCCTCCAGAATCTACCAAGTAGATGCACGGTAAGCGGTTCTCTTGCGCAATTGTCTGCGCTCGCAGGTGCTTCTTCACGGTAATGGGGTAGTATGTGCCTCCTTTGACTGTCGCGTCATTTGCAACCACCATGCATTGAACGCCGTTGACGCTGCCAATGCCCGTAACAATGCCACCTGCAGGCACGTCATCTTCGCCGTACATGTCATAGCCTGCCATTTGGCTCAACTCGAGAAAAGGCGTGCCGGGGTCGATCAGGGCAGATATTCTGTCCCGAACCAGCATCTTGCCTCGTTGTATGTGCTTGTCCCTCGCCTTCTGCGGGCCGCCCTGCGCGATCTTGGTGTGAAGATTGACGAGCTTCTCAGTTGCTTCGTCCATTTGGCGCTTGTTCTCCTTAAAGTCGGCATTGCTCGTGTCGACGTTTGTGGGGATGACGGAGACGGCCTCGGCATGGTGTGAATGTGTAAAGGTAGCGGCATTGCGCGTGCCTTGATGCAAGTGCCCAGCTCGTGATTGCGATAGTGTTGTAGGGCGAGAAGGGGATGAGAGGAGACAGCGCTGTGCTTGCGATCGGATGGCTGCGGCTGGTCGAATTGTGTTCTTGAGAAGGGCCAAAGCCTCACGAGAAGGTGCTTTGGGGACCATCATGGGCTATGAAATTCCGTGCTCTGGGATTATGGATGAGTGGGCAATGTTTTGCACGATATGTAGATAAAAGGTGGCACCCCGCACAATGAGACAGAAGGAACAAATACTGGAACTTGGCCCGACTGACGGCCCATCCAAGGCCGCGATGGCTGTTTACCGAAGTGTGTCGAAGCTGGGGTTCCGATGACATCTCAAGACCGCTGTTAGCCGTACCGCGGCTCTGCGGGGAAGACACGCTAGTCACAACAAGCAGGTCCTTTGAAATTATTCAAGTGCATCACATTCGAACATTGAAAAATTATTTTCATTCAAGTGGTCTTGATCAGATAGAAAAATCAACAAACTTGTGTAACTAATGACGGCACTTGCTTACAGCTTGCCGCCGTCCACAGGCATCTCAACCACTTGGTCCAAGCCTTCATATTTGGGTATATCAAGATTGTACTTCTCTGCCATCTCTGGGCTCAAAAACCTACCACCAAGAAAATGACGACCAGAGAACTTCTTGATAAGGGGCTTGGGTGCTGTTAAGCTGATGAGTGCTGGCGGCATGAAGCCCTTGCCTAGTCCCGAGTCTCGAGGGCCCTCTTCAATGTCCCAAGATGACGGCGCATCAACCGATAGCACAGGAACAGAGGTAGATGCGAGTGCCTCGATAACCTTTGGAAAGGGTTCACGCACTTCTCCCGAAAAGCTGAATCCAAAGATGGCGTCGACAATGTGATCAGTTTGTTTCAGCGCGCCAGTGAAATCTTCGGTGAATGGCACTTTGAGGTCTTCCAACTGTTTCTTGAGCCGCTACGACGTGTGAGCATGTATGAGCCAGCATATCTTTTCGACCATCATCACTCACCTGGTAGAGCTCGTTTTTACTTTGCTTGGGGTAGTAAATCGTGGGTTGGTAACCGTAGTGAAATAAATGGCGAGCTGCGACGAGGCCGTCGCCGCCGTTGTTGCCAGGACCACATGCAACCAGGATGCGCTTGCCTTTGCTTAGAGGTTGTAATTTGAACACTGTTTTGATTAGTCCAATCATGAAAAGACATATCAGAGCTAAACATACCAGCTTGCGATACCGAGAGTCCGGCAAGCTCCATCAGTTGATCAATAGAGAACGCGCCAGTCGACATGAGTTCTTGGTCGAGCGCTGCAGCGCTTTTGGCCGACAGAGTCTACTAGAGCGTTAGCCTCTATACAAAATATTACTGCGCCAAAGACTCACTCTGATTGCCATTGTGAGGTTTGTAGAGAACTCTGAGTGGAATGGGATGGGTGTGATGTTCAAGAGATCAATTGATGCATCGGGTAGGCCTGACATGGTGCTTGCAATTACATCACTGGTCTCAACTGCGCATCTGGTCAGAGCAGCCCACCGCACCCTCCTTTTGTGTGTGCAACTCGATGCAACGTAATTACGTGAACTCGTCGCAGTATGATAAAAACGAAGAAAAAATTAATCTTTAGATTTGTTCTGATTTATTGAAGAGAAAAACAACTTCCAAACGTTGAGCTCACTTGTTTACACTGCCTAGATATATGGTATGGTAAGAGGGGTTCAGGGTACTCTGTAAGAATCCAGCACTCTAACAACATCCAGGTAAAATAGTTCCTGAATGCTTCGAGAATCTTTAGAGATGAGGCCTTTTGTGAGACAGAGTCTCGTCGCATCCCGGTACCCCTTGCCCATTCTTGAGGCCAATTTGGGCACCTCACAATCCACAATGTAATCTTGAAATTCCACAGCAGAGTAACCCTTAGATCCAGCAACTTGAGATGCTCTTTGCTGTACAATCTTGATGCTTTCCCTTAATCCGAGCTCCAAAAGGAGAATCCCCAAGCTGTATTGATCATGAGTATAATCAAATGGTATTTTGCTCGTACTGGAAGTTGATGTTGCTGTCTGCACCACGGCTGGCAAACCTTGCACGTCTGGATGGCGATAAAGATTGTATTCGAAATCATCCGTGACGCCTTCTGTTTGGTGGGAAGCAGATGCTTCCCTACTATATTCGAATCCTACAACAAAAGGTTTGTCGTAAGAAAAGCCACCGTTGCTCTCAGCGAAAAAGAGTATGTTGTCGCTACGGATACCCTTGTGAAGCCAACCAGCAAGATGCATGTACAACAAAGCTCGTGAAATGCTCCCAGCAATGCGATACCAATCTCCTGCGTCAAGGTCATGTCCGGCCCCTTCGAGGATTTGCGCTAAACATTGATGGTTTGTTCCAGGGACATTGAACACAAGGCCGTGCTCCAACTTCTCATCAACCAGATACCTTGTAACTACACCGATACAGGACAGTGTACGTAGCTCTGCAGGCTTATACTCAGCCTTGAGAAGCCTTGCCAAGTTCTCGATTCGGTATTGCAGCATCGTTTTGTACATTCCCCTCGAGTAATTTGGCGGGCATTTTGCAGGATCCACGAGCTTCCATTCTACTAGCACGCCTAGTGTAGTGCTATTCTTGGTAAAGAAGCCGTAGCTCCTACCAGACTTGTCCTCTCTTGTACCGGTCTCTTTCAGAAACCGTTCCTTCTCCTTTACATTCTCACTGCCAAGAACCGTCTTTCGGGCATCCATTTCTATGATTGCAGACTTGAGGAGGGCCAGCCCCCGCAGTTCCGAGTTCCCATCCGACTGTGAGCTCAATGTTTGCAGCTTTGCTAGACTCATCGTGGCCAAAAGACTATTCAATGCTAGTTTTGCTGCAGGGTCAACTTTCGGGGGCGTGAAAAAGTCGAGCAATTCATCAACCAAGCTCTTCAACTGGTCAAGAGCTTTTAATGGTCCACCGTCATTCAGCGCCCATTTCATTTTTTCTTTCAGCCCAGCAGCACTCTGTATGCTTCTTAGTTTTTCTTCGAAATGTGTTCGCTCCGTCGAGCTCGGATTGGCCATGTCAAGCAGTTTCGTGATGGATGAGGCGGCGGATATCGATGTGTTGCCGGCTGCAGAGATTGCAGGGAAATCTTGCCCCAGCTTACCGAGTTCATCCAGGAAATGATAGATGAGAACGACATATTTCACAGCAACATCTCCGTGCTCCTGAAAACGCCTGTCTTTGAGATGCATGGAATCAGCGCCACGGTCCAGCCCCCATTCAACGCCCCATGTCTTCAACTTTGCAGCTTGCATTTCTAGTCTTGCTTGGAATATTTCAGCATCATCGGCGAGCTCGTCACCTTTTCTCCATAATTCGAAGCTTTTAACGCAACCCTGGAAGACTTGAACAAAAAAGCCAGCTCCACCAACTACGCCACTGCCAACGGCCAATCCGTCCGGAGGAGCCATATCGTTATGGGATTTGAGGGGCGAGCTGTGGTGGTTGATATGTAATGAGTGGGAATGAGGAAAGAGCTCTGGGCCTTTGGTGTTGGTGTTGTGCTGCGAGTGACACATCACGCGCCTGCACAGCCCTCTTGTGGCTGTATAGCCATGTAGTCACCCAATCAACCGAATGCATTTGTCGCCTTCAGAAAGCTGGCACGCCACGAGTTTCAGCTTCAGCTCAGGCAGCAATTCCAACACTCACTTTACACAAGAGTATCATGAACGGATCTTCCAGCTCATCAACAATCCAAACGTCGTGCATCTCCAGCCCTTCACAATGGCAGCTGAAAATGCAGCAACAAACGTCGGTTTCCATCAGTGTGACCACGATATCCTATCACTGCTTTCTATATTCACTCGCTCTCATCGGACATTAACTGTGGGGCTTTTACTGGTCGGAGTCCTCATTCACGACCAGAGTTTTGAACTCCCGCCTCCAATCAATCAAGGTGCATATTTCGAAGTATACAGCATTCCTTTCCGGTCTTTAACAAGATCATACTTTTCCCTCAGCGCTTCAGAGGTGCCTGGAGGAGCCCTTCCAGAGCTTGTCGCTGTCAAATGTCCGAAGATAATGGGTGAGCTGCGCGATAAGCGAAACCAGAAACTGTGGAGTTCCATGGCGATGGAGTTGCAGATACTGCGACACCCACATATCCAAGAACATGAAAATATTGTTTCCGTTCTGGGAGTCTGTTGGCGATCAACAAGAGACCAGATCATGCCGGCTTTTGTTATGGAGCTGGCCCATACAAATCTCGAAGCGATGATGCAGTCCGAAGGCTTCACAATCGACAAGATAAGTACCCGCAAAGCCTTTGGACTTGCCATCGATGTCTGCGCCGGCGTATCCGCACTCCACGAAGTTGGCATCATACACGGCGACATCAAGCCTGCCAACGTCCTGATATTCAAACATCCAGAACTCAAATTCGTCGCCAAAATCTCCGATTTCGGCTCATCATTGCTGAAAACAGATATCAAAGAGCCGATCCGTCTTCCATTCAGCAGTGGGATCTGGCAGGCCCCAGAGTGCAAAAAGGTTCTTGACGGTGAAAACCTTATCAGCGCAGATACATTCTCTCTTGCACTTCTAGTGTCATATATTCTCAGCAGAGGATACACTATGGCAATTTTTGAGGGTCATGGATCTGATGCGTCGTCTGAGCATCCTGGGCAGTCTGGGCCATCCGATTGGCATGAACTTTCTGAGCCATCTGAAGATGATATTCAAGGAATTTATGATAAATCGGCGCAATACATCTATCATACATTGAGCTGGTTTCTAAGGACTGTCATCGAAGCCGAAGAGAGCAAACGCTATGGACTGGCTGCTACAAAACATCCAAATGGAATGACGGATGATCCTGGGGAACACGAAGAAGCTGAGGATGCCACTGATGAAACTTCTCATATCAAGCCCATTGCCCAGATTGCGCGTGCAGTAGGGGAGACCGTCACGCCTCATCTTTTCCAGCCTTCACTTCGACCAAGAAGTAACATCCTACACCTGAATCTACGAATATGTCTTAGCTGGATTCTCAGTAGAGATATGTTAAACCCCTTGAATTACTCTGACCCCGCAACAATGACGCATTTCATCCAAGCGACAGACCTAAACCCGCAGGAACGCGAGATATTAAGTAACCCAGGTAAGAGACATTCGATATGTATTGGTGCAAGTGCTCATCTGCACACCAAGCGATCCAACGTCCAACAGAAGATGATAAGGCACGCGCTTGGAGTTTCGCACAAACGGCCGAGTATCTCGACAGAAGCTTTTACGCCATAGCCCAGAAACAGAATCTCCCACAACTTGATGAAATAACACAACCCGAGTCGGCTCATAGAATCTCTGAGATACTCAAGACTTGGTAAGAATGAAAGTCTATCAGCTTCCTCAAAAGCTAAGAGTGATAGGAAAAAACATGAGCTTCCAAAGCCAGAAGAAATGTACTCGATACGTGATGCTGGTGCAGTTTTGGAGGTATGAGATAAATGAAAGATTTAATACCCTCCATATAACGTTCCAGTAGGCAGATACATCGCTTGGCACTCTAAAAATCCTTCCAACTCCAGTCCTGAACCAAATCGTTGTTGAAATGACGGCCGTCGCACACGATGAACGAGAAGACAAGCTACGTCGAGCAGAAGCTGCATGGCAGTGCTCTGTTCTTCAATTAAGACTCAGGAAGATGGAGAAAAGCAAACACGATGAACTCAACTCAATACTTCGACTAATGCTTCTTGCAGCTCGACTAGGACATACTGTAGCTGGTGGGATGGTTGGGTGGCTTTGCGCTGTATTCGAGCTAGACCTGTCGATTTCCCTAGAAGAAGAGAAGCAATGGCTTTATGCAGCAATCTGTATGGGCAACTCTACAGCACGAAGACGGTTGTCATCCCTCGATATAGAAGAATGCCAGCGGGCAGTCTCACATCTTCGTTCTCAATACGTTGGGATTGGGCTTGCAGCGCCCCGAAACTACTACGACTCAGACTGGGTGGACGATGATTCCTTCTTCAGGTTCATTGAAGATTCACCCAGCAGTCTTGGATCCATTTTCCAACTTGCCGCAACTGGGGGCCGCTACGAACTTGTCCACCGTATTGTCACCTCAAAAGCTCAAAATATGAACATAAACGAACTATTCAGGGGGAATGAAAGTGCTTTGCTAAAGGCATGTCGGTCCGGATTTGCTGAGATTGCTCTTCTTCTGCTTGAAAATGGCGCTGATCCCACTTTGGCAAACGACGAGGGAGTTACTCCGTTACACTTCCTGAGCTCCTTTGATGAAGAACATATCCCAAAAATCACAGACGAACTGATTAAGACAGGAGCAGACCGAGAAGCCCGTTCGCACCAAGGGTGGCGATACAGGCAGGGCATTGACTCAACATATGGGACCGTTGAAGGTACTCCATTAACCTGGGCTGTTGCTGCAGGTAATGAAACAGCCACTCAGGCACTCATGGACGTCGGGGCGGACCCTTTTGATTTGAATGGAAGAGAAATAGAGTATGATGACGCTTGGACCAATAATGTCCATGTTTTTCCTGTATGGCAGGCTTGCATCAACTGTCAATACCGATTACTCGAAATCTTACTTGAGGCTCCGAAAGACTACTCTGAGAACCTGAATTCAGTTTACCGCAAGTTTGGGAGTCAAGGTTTGAAGGAGCCATTCGCAATTCTGGGCTGGTTAGTCACTGATGGGAATTCCAGCACTTTCAATCGGATTCTTATTCATGGAAGTGATTATGAGCAGGCCTTCCAAAGGACCTTCGAAATTCTTATACGCCATGGAGCAAACCCGCTAGATATTAATGGCAAAGGACAATCCGTCATTGTGTCTGCTCTGGAACGAAGTCAACCGTACATATTGGACTACTTGATGACCTGGCAGGACGGGGAACTACAGCCAGACAGTTCACAATGGATACGCTGTCTTTGGACTGCTTGCTCTCTTCAAGACGAAGTGGCATTTCAGTCGCTTGTCTCCCATTCGAAAGCAGACAAAATCTCTTCGCAGCAGTGGGATGCCTTTTTTGCCGGACTGCATGCCCTTCCTGAGGACACTGAATATCTCACCCACCTTGACCATTACCGCAGGTCAGAAGCCAATTTCCACAATCATTTCGAGAGTGCACTTTTTGCGGGAAAGTACACTCTGGCTCGTTGGATCTATGAAACGGGAAAATGCGACTTGACCAGAATGACCGATGGGAAGACGATTCTCGGCCGACTTATTGTGTCATCCAAGGCATACAGCAATTCTTCCCACCATATTGATTTTTTCTTAGACATGGTTGATACAGATACTGTGTACTACGGTGTATTTGAACTTGATGGCTCGAAAATGTCTGCATTACATGCAGCTGCTTTTATGGTGAAATACCGGCCCGGCTCGTCTCGCTCTACTTCGGCGCTCCAAAGTATTGTCAGACGCAAGTATGAGCCAGCATACTTGAACCTGATTATCTCCGAGGGCGGATACAAAGGTAACACCGCATTACATCTCGCCGTGCGAACGTGCAATGAGGACTCTGTACGTTATCTCCTGGACGAGGAGGGAGAAAGCCTGGACCTTTCACTACTAGACCATGAGGGCAACAGTCTCATAGATCTCACAAGCTTTCTCTTGAAGAACCAGGCCCCGCAAATGGAAGCCTGGGAGATGCCCGAAGAGGAGCGTAAGGAGGCTGACCTACGTCACTTTCAAAGCTCGATATTGATATTACATATGCTCTACTCCACAAGGCGTGCACGGCCTAGGAGAGTTCTGGCATCTGTCACTAGAATCGAGGTCGATGTGCTCTTTGTCATTCTGTATGAGCAAGAAGAGTTTAAGATGATGAAGGCTCAATGCTCAGGTACAATCAACCCTTAACTGAAGCTTACTCCGGAAGCCCGCTTACACACTTCCAGTATTCAATGGCTTGTCACCCACGCAAATCATGCGTCTTGGTGCAATGTACTCAATTCAAGTGCGCTGGGACCTCACTCTGATATGGCCACAGATTGTCGAGCGAGGTCCTGAGCTCCCGCTCAACAGCTCTTTCTTCCTTTTCAGGGCCACGGAAATGTCTGAAGAGGAGTTTGACAGTGTTTCATCTAATGGGAACGTCATCCGTCGAGAGCAGTACCAGAGTAACCCAAGTGGCGAGCACTCGGATATGGTTCTGGCCATGCAGAATCTTATGTTAGAGATGATGGAACAATCCAGGGAACCAAGCTGAAAGCTCGGATGGATTTGATTGATTTCTATTTTTGGTGATATCTTAGCAATATTTCAATCGAGCTGTGGTCAACGTTGCCCGGTATTCACAATTGAGAGAATTTCAATAAATATGCAACAAATAACCCTTATGGAGAAACCACTTATCTCGCACGGAAACCAACACATTTCATTTCCATAAAACACACTCAACCAAAATCCCAAGGACATCTCTACAAATCTACACAACTCAACTCAAAAAACGCTAAGCCCAAATAGTCACAAACAAGTGGGGTCATGCACCACCGGCAGATCTTCGGGCTCCGCCCCAAAAAGATCCCCAAACCACCACCACTACATCCATCCCGCCAAACACCCGTCCGGTCGCAACAGCGTCCTCACACACATACACCACCAGAAACAATGGTATTAAGAATACGCCTCGCGCGCTTCGGCAAGAAGCACGCACCCTTCTACAACATTGTCGTCGCACACGCCCGGTACGCCCATTTCGCAATCCACCCACGTACCTCTACAAGTCCAATTGCTTCTCCCACAGCCACATGTCTCCTTCTTCGAACCTCCCAAAACACCTCAAATATGCGGGGGAAAAAACGGGTCAAATATCTATTTACAAATGCTAACCCACAATCAATAGCACAGCACGCAACTCGCGCCCCCTCGAAGTCTTAGGGACCTACGACCCCAAACCCCAACCGCCCCGCCCCGGCGACACATACGGTCGACCCTGGAAAGACATCAAGCTGGATATAGCGCGAGCGCGGTACTGGGTCGGTGTAGGCGCGCAGCCAAGCGACACGGCGTGGAGGATACTGAGCATGGTGGGCATTCTGGAGCCGCAATACCGAGTCGGACAGGTGCAAGGGCAGGTTGTTAAGGCGGATTCGGCGTTTAAGAGTTTGGTGCCTGAGAAAGAAGGCTGAGGCGTAGGGGGGGGGGTAGGAGGAATTGCCTGAAGGGGAGGGGAGGGGGAAGGGGGTGTGGTATGATATTATATGTTATGTGGGAAAAGAACATTACGAAGGGCGTTTATTCGAGGAAATTTTCAATTACTAGGATTGAAGAAGGAAGAGAGAGAGAGAGAGAGAGAGGGAGACAGAGCGACATTATTCTATTGCGGGAAAAGAGCGAATAGAAGTGTACATTTGTAAGAATACAAGCAGAAAAAAAACATACTCACCAAGATAGATCCGCGTGCGCGCGGCCTAACGTTCAGAGAAAAAAAATCAAACACAGTCTACTATGCTCGCAGAACAACTCCTTCCCCCTTCCCCAGAAAAAGGAAAAAAAACTCCCGCTAAATGCAAAAAAAAAAACAAATGCCTAACATCCTCACGGCGGGCTCTCTCAATGCGCAGCCGCGACTAAAAAGGTATTCGTAATCAGACAAGTCACCATAACAATGACACCGTAAATACTCAGTGCAAGCGCCATCTTCCTCAATAATCCCCTTCTAAGATCACGATTCATATGCCCCTCACGCGTGACATAGCCTTCAACCTCGCCACTCTGAAACTCATCCTCGTCATCCTCGTCCTTGATGAGGCGCTGGTGGTGAGTAGACTCTGGATCCGAAATCTTGTAGTAAAACAGGCCTGGAAGAATAAAGGAAATGGTTGTTGAACCCGTGGACCCGACGTACGCCAGTACCTTTTCCAGGCTGGTGACGGTCATGGCGGTGATGAAAGACAGGACGATGAGAACGGTGGAGATGATTGCGAAGCGGAGGTCGCTCATTTCGGCGCTCTTGGGGGCGCCAGGCTTGGGCGCGTTGTTCATGAGGCTGGCACGTGACGGACTGCCTTCGACCTGTTTGCGCGCACCGCTGGGACGCCACTTGAGGCAGGCGTCGATGCTAGCGCGGCAAGGGTGGATTTGTAAGGGGTACGAGAACATGACTAGAATGACAATGGCAAGTCGACCGATGGTGCTAGCGGCCGCGGTAGGGTACATGGATACGATGTTGCCGTGGATCTTGTCGCCGTAGGAAAGGTAGCCGGTGATGCCAGTCAAAATGTATAAACAGCATGCGCCGCCGATGGAAGCAAAGATGACGGTTGTTGTCCGAAAGTGAGAGTTGTCGGCAATCTCGTTGAGAATCGAAAACATGTTCTGGTGGCATGTATATGCAAAGACGATGACAGGGAACGCAGCGAGGGCAGGCACGGTACCGGCCCATTGAAACACGCGGACTTCTCCTCGGTCTGCGATGGTATCCCCTTTAATGTAGTGTGCGACAACCAGAATTACAAGGTATGCAATAGAGAAAAGGGCAATTATGCTCGTGTACTTGAGCGAATCCAAACGGCGAAGGAAGGACAAGGGAATAACGACAAGCCTGGGACTGTTAGCTCACGGATCTGTGGTACATTTGCATGATGCTTACATGAACGCAGTGATCCAAAACTGTCTATCGACCAAGAACGCCATGTGTGCAGCGCCTGGCGCAAAGCCTCTGACCACTCCCGGCATCAAATCTCCAATGATGATCAGGTAACTGACTGCCACACCAAAGCACTTGATCGCGATCGCGGCATCGAATAAGATGGAGAGGTTCGGGTAGGTCATCTGGGACAGGGTCGCAAATGACACATGGCCGCGATCAATATACCGCGCGCATCGAGTCTGGAGGTATAAACCAAAACCCGCGGTTGTGCCAGCCCACGCGATCACGAATATGCCGAGGAAGATGCCCATTTTCGAGAGGGCCGATGGCATGGCGAGAAGACCAGCGCCAAGGACTAGGCTTGTTAGTACTTGTGACAACGGGTATCCACGGGTCAGAACATACTGGTGTTGGCCAGGTTGATCACACTCGAGATCCACGTCGCCTCTCCCTTGAACCCAGCATCGTGCTTGCCTCTGCCTCGCCTGCTATTGTCAGCTTGTGTTGAACAGGCTCCAGAGATGTGCTTCTGACCTTCTTCCTCTTAGCGACCCGATACTTGAAGACATGGGGTCTTCGTCTGCTGGCTCGGGGCTGATCGCGGAGTAGGTAGCCATGCTCTCCTGGAGGGTGTAGAGTGTACGGTAGTTGTTATTGCGAGCGCATACGGTTGAGGCCAAAAAGCAATACTGTCGATGTGTGAAGAAACGGTCGCCAAAGTGTTGCGATAAGATAAGAGAGGCTGTGCCTGGGGGGGCGACAGGTGAGGTTGAAAGGGCTCTGCTGACGTTTGACGTTAGGCACAAGGCAAACGCGTTCGGAGAGGTCTCGGAGGCAGATAAGCAGATAGCCGCCCGCTAAAACCCAGGCTCCGTTCCGCCCGCGTTCACTAGCTGCGTAGGAACGCGATCTGCATCTGCAGACAAGACATATCTAGCAATTCACCACAGCCATGGACGAATACGAGGAGGCAGTTCTTTTCACGTTTTCGCTACTTGAATCACGGCTGGATCGCCTGGAATATGTTCTTGGAGGCCCTCAGGAAGTGGCCAAGGACAAGCCAAGGACAATAGCGGATAGGATACACAGGATTGAGCAGTCGTTGCAGCAGCTAGCGGGCAAGACGGCACTGCTGGACGAAGCCAATAGTCTACGTATGCAAAGTCAATAGGTGAGCCGCTTCTTAGAGCTGACGAGACAAGTAAGCAAACACAAAGACGTGCTCAAGCCTCAGGTCGACGACGAGGACGAGGACGAGGACGACTACGAAGACGAGGACAACGCTCCCCTTGATACTGCTCATAAGACGGCATTGGTCGTAGAACGCGCGACTAGCTTTGCGACGACTGCGTCACAGCTCAAAGCACTCGAAGATCAGCACATACCCACGACGGATGGTTTCACCAAGCTTGCAGCGCTGCGACCGCGGATTGCCGAGGCAGAGGAGCGTCAGCTTCAGCAGGCACTCAAGATGTCAGAGTTGAGGCGGAGGAACGGGCTCATCAACCAGAGGTACAGGCAGGTCATGGTGCTGGGAACAGGCAGGTGTTGGGTGGACTACAACGAGAGGCTCACGCAGGCACTGCGAGCATTAGTCAGGGAGGAATACAGACGGCGGCCCGAGGACGAAAAAGACAATGGCGACGAGGGGGCGCATAAGGAAGAAAAACCAGAGGAAGAAGAAGATGCCGAGGACGACGAGTTGTGAGAACTGTCAGCACTGTCGCAAGATTACGTTGGGCGACATGGAGCAGTGGGAAAAAAGAAATTACCGGCGCGGGTGAGTCGAGAGGCAGGATGGACCCCTTGAACGGACGAAGAGGTGGATATTAGTTGTAAATGTGTAGACGCATGTTAGGTTGACGTGGCGCAGTCCTAGAGTACATAGTGTGCATGCATGCAGGAGTTTTTCTTCTTCTTCTGCACCCTGTGGCAGATGGGGGTAATTAGGAATGAAGAAAAAGGCATGAGGTGGCTACAGTCGAGGCGAGTTGTCGTCATGAGGGAGGGGCATTGTTGAGGAAGCAGGCACATGGACATGCAACAGGGCGGATGGTGCCGGGACCGGATGTCAGGTAGGCAGATTTGAGTTTGGTCGACGAAATAGGATGGGAGTTGTGAGGCGTTGGCATGCAGGGGTAACGGTGCGTGTGGGTGATTGGACAGTGGGGGTAGCGAAGAAACATTGTGCCATGTCATCGAGGCAAATGGTCAAACATGACGATGCTTGATAAGCGCCTGGTAGGCGGCCATGATGTCGAGGTGATGTTGTGTAGGGCTGCGGAGAGAAGGATGCCGTAGGAAGGCGTTTCAGCGGCGTCTCGAATCATCTGGCGAGGCCCAAAGCGTCGTGGCGGCCTTGTGAGGGCTTAGCTAGAAGCAGCACGCACCAGGAACAAGACGTGTGTCTGTGCAGTGTGGCTTGTACCTGACGAAATTGATACTTGATTAAGACGAAGGACGAGATGACGAGGGCGGTGCTGACATGGCCACGTTGGCTTCACAGGGGACATGGTGCCGACGACGATTCTTTGCGTCTAGAGCGGGCCAGTTGCGGCAGATGGGCGCCCGATTGATGGGGATAATTCAAAGAGGCAGGGCGCTATGCCTAGGCGGGGGTGGCTGTTCGCTGCCCTGAAAGGCGTGGTTCGCGATGAGTTCGGGGGGACACTTGCTGCAGGGCTCTCGACAGGAACCCCCCCTGACATTCTGGCTGTCATGGCCTTTGTGCCAGTCGGTTTCGCCCAGCCAGCAGAAGCAAAAACCAGGCGACGAGCGTCACAGCGGCAGGGCGGGCGGGCGGGCGGGCGCGACGAGGGAGGCAGAGAGAGTGGACTGCAGCGTCTGTTGTGTGCTCTGCTGTCGGCGTCGCTGTCGTTTGATTGTGCTCGTTGTCGGCGGCTCTCCGGGGGGTGTGGGCAGGGCTAATGCAGTCGACGCGCGTGTTCAGTCGAGCGTGTCCAGGCCGTCTGGCTGAGCTGGAGCGGTACCATTTTAATCTGCATACGAGTGGGACCCGCCGCAATCCCCGACCGACCCTGGGCGACCTGGCCGGCCAATGGCGCGCCCCAGCCTGCCCGACTTGAAACCGTCGCATCTCTGCCCTAAGCACCCGTTGCCAAAAGCCCTCGACGCCCTCTCCATTCATTGTCCTGTTTGCTTGCCTGTTAGCTGTGCTGCGCTGTACCCTCCCCTCTTTTTGCAGCCGCCGCCCTATCGCTGCTCAAGACACCACACACTCTCCCACACGCACACACACACACACCACTATATCCATCCCTCCATCGGTACATCCGCACTACATACAATACCCCCTCGCTGCGCCTCGCTGTCGTCGCTGGACCAGACCCTGACACCGCGCGCCCACACCCTCATTCATTCACTCGCCCCCATCCATCGCAACCACCACCAACAGTATATGCCCTCGTCCCACTCAGCCACATCCACCTCGTTCGCAAAAATGGAAAACGGAGGCTACGGCCAGAGGTCGTCGGGCTTCAGTTTCGGCCGCATTGTTGGCGACCCCTTCGCCCTCGCCACAATCTCCATTGGCATCGTGAGTCGCTCCTGCCCTTCTCCAGTCGCGCCTTCCCTCGCTAACCTCGTGCCACAGCTCGCCTGGATCATCTCTTTTGTCAGCTCCATAATATCGGCCATTCATGGCGGCTTTCCAAACTTCGCATGGTGGACTCTGGTCTTCATGTTCTTCTGCATTGTCGGCGTCACCGTCACAGTCGCCTCGGATGCTGAGCGGACTTACCATGTCGCCGTACGTTGTCTTGCGCTCAACATCCCCAGGGACGCCTTTGCTAATTCGCTCAGATTGTCGGTTTCCTTGCTGCTGGCCTTGTATTCACCACCTCGTCTGTCAACTCGCTCGTTTACTCGCCCGTTACCCCCTTCGAGGCTGCTGCCGCCGGCTATATTCTGCTCTCCATGATCGCGGTAAGGCATACACCTTGCCAATTACTCACCACCACCACTGACATTGTCCAGATTGTCTGGATCTTCTACTACGGATCGCAACCACAAGCCAGCCACCGCGCCTTTGTCGACTCGTACGCCCTTAACAAGGAGCACCCAGGCTCTCGCTCGTCCCGACCAATTTCCAATGGCTACACGAACCGCCCTGAAACCCAGAGCGCCGCCCCCCAAATGTACACATCCGCCCAACTCAACGGCTTCGAGACCTCCTCTCCCGTGTCCGGCTACCCCGGAGGCCCCACTGGCGCAAACGCCCGCAACTCGTCCGCCCCACCCTTCGGCGGTATCCCCTCCCAGGCACAAAACGACGAGGCTCAGCAAGAAGCTACCATCGAGTACCCCTACCGCGCCAAGGCCATCTACAGCTACGAGGCCAACCCAGACGATGCCAACGAGATCAGCTTCCAGAAGCACGACATCCTCGAAGTATCCGACGTCAGCGGACGGTGGTGGCAGGCCAAGAAGCCAAATGGCGAGACCGGTATCGCGCCCAGCAACTACCTCATCTTGCTATAAAAGACTGGCTCTTTTGGCTTGCGCCATTACGACCCGCCATGACCTTTTCCTTGCACTCCATTACCTTTCATGTGCGCACTCTGTCTCACACTTCTGCATCCCTTTCGCCGGCCGTTTGACTGCCTCGACCAGGCTCTTAATCGACGATCTGTATTGATTTCACGTGCTGAGCTTGCTTGTTAGCTGAGCAAGAGGAGGGCACCCTAGCAACCAGGCGTTTGTGGACTGGCCACCGCTACCCTTGTGCGTTTGGCGGCCACTCTTCTGCACGATACCCCAGTTTCCTTGTCAGAATAATTTCAAATCTGTGTCCCCTTTCCCATTGCACACGTCTACTGTGTGCCTTTCCCTTTACTTCTCTACTTTATTCCATCTTGTCTTTTCTTTTTCGTACACATTACATTCCCCTTGTTATACTATCTTTGTTCGTTTTGCTGGGACTTTTAAAAACGCGTAGAGCAGCTGTGATTACCCAATGGCTGTTGGCCTGCCTGTTTTCTATTGGCGCATTAGGTATCTTATCTACCGACCTTGTATCTTATATTCTGCTGGTTTTCATTGCGTGAGAAGAGAGGAGAGCAGGTGAATGCACTCCACACACTGAGTTGCAGACACAAGTCGCACGTCAAGTCATGTTGGATCATTTTGTTTTGTACGTATCCATGTCCGGATGTTCTGAAGACGGCAAGAGAAGGGGACGAAAAGGTGGCGGCTTCCAGAGTCACGCATAAGCATGTTTTCTTTTGAGTCAAAATCAGATTGGTGTAACAATGAAGCAATCAAGGGCTGTTTATTTGCGACTGAATGCTTTTCGTTTTCTAGTTGCTTGTCCGTGTTTGTCATGCGTTTGGCGAGATGCAAGGAACTTGAGGAGGGCTTGTAATGGATTGAGTGTTCAGCATAAGTCCGAGCGTGAACGACAATCTCGCAGACGGGTAATTTTTGTAGTAGTTGTAATATTGTCCAAGTCTTTTAGTTGCATACCCCACAACCGAGTGGAGATGACATGAAATAATCAAGCCGTCATCCAGGTTCTATCGTTCCCGCATCCTTATCTTATCGTCAACTCTTATCATCTCGATTGTGACTATACATTAGGCGTGCTATGGTTCTATAATGGTTCTATAATCTCATTACATCGTACTACCTAGAACACAATCAACCTAATTCTTCTCTGTGCTGGAATCGTTTCACAGACGAAGAAGATGCCACCTCCCACCTTCCCATTTCATCACCCGCTCAACTGGCAAAGCGGGGCTGCGGAACCATGACCTGCCCTCTGCGGGGCAAGCTCCGTACGCCATCTAGTGGCCCAAGTAAACATACCGGGTCATCATAAACCCCAATTTATTTAATCATTCCAAGAAGATTTCTCCTTTGCACATCAAAACCCCGCAACTCTCACCACACATACTGAACACGTCTTGTCATCACCGTCACACCACCACCACCACCACCACCACCACCACCACAATGTCCGCCGCCCAAGCCCTCCGCGAAAAACAAGCCCCCATCAAAGAAGGCTACCGCACCGACCCTTCCTCAGCCGTCGTAACCCTAAAATCCACAGGTTCCCTAGACAGCCACTCAATCACATGCAAACTCTCCGACAGCCCCGCCATCAAAGAAGCCCACCGCGTCGCAGGCCTGCACCAAAAAGCCGGCGGCGACGATCCCTCCATCTCTGGCGAACTCTGCTCAGGGGACATGCTCCTCGATGCTCTCGTCGCTTGCTCGGGCGTCACGCTTAAAGCCGTTGCCACCGCGCTCGGCATCCCCATTGTGTCCGGCACTGTGACTGCCGAGGGCGACTTGGATTTTAGGGGTACGTTGGGTGTGGATAAGACGGCGCCGGTGGGGTTGACGGGGATTCGACTGGATTTTGCGGTCGAGTTTGGGGAGAGGGAAGATGGGAGGGAGATTAGTGAGGAGGAAGTGGAGAGGTTGGGCAAGTTGACGGAGAGATATTGTGTTGTGTTGCAGACGTTGGTGCATAAGCCGAGTATTGGGGTTAGGCTTGTGGGGAAGGGGGGTGGGAAGGAGAGCGAGGGGGTGAGGAGGGAGGTTTCGCATCAGAGTACTTTGTAGATGGTTGGTTGGTTTGGGGGGAAGAGGGGGTCTTTGTAAGGGTTAAGGTATTGTTGAAAGATGAGAAGTGAAAAAGAACAATACATTGAACGAATATGTGTACGCAAATCTCTACCATCGCTTTTTTAACTTAAAAGTTATAGATGTAGGAACAATAGTAAGTCAGTCCCAGCAATATATACCACGTTCCTCAGCAGTACCAAGTTTATATTTTACAAACCCGTATCCTATTTTTTTTTCTCCCACTTATACGAAAAAAGCTATATTGAGTAGTACTCGTAACTTAATCTAAAGAAGCATTTCCACACTAACCTTTCGTTATTCGATCTGGAATCGAGACGAGATATATCAATTTATCGAATCATTTTATAGAGATAACACCTCTCCTTACTATCTCTAATCTTTTAACTGACGTTTTTTTTTACTGCGCTAATAATTAATACATAGCCATCTCTTCTTTATCTTGGCCGAAAAAAAGAAGAACAGAAAAGAGAAACTGCCTAACGACTTACAATGTTATATTAGAATAATCGCATAATAGCTATAGTACTATTCCTTTTTTTTCTTCGTTGAAGCCTAATAACTGGCATGGTTGGAGTGTCAGCCTGCTATTACCTTTTTTTTTTCTAAAGAAAAATCATGATAGGGTGTGTGGTAGCTGCGAAATAAACCGGTTGTATTTTAAGCCAAAATCTAAGCAGCAATCGAGGGCATAAAACTTACCTCTAAGCGTTACCTTACTTATCTTAACCTCCTCTCTCTCTCTCTCTCTCTTCGCTTCTATCCCTATATAAATTACAGTTTGAAAAACAATCCTTTATTAGGTTCTATTTTTCTTAAGCACATTATATACGCTCTATGAATCTAGCAATTCTTTCTTTCTTTCCTTCCTATCAAAGAAAAAAAGAGAAGGAAAGTAACTAACAACAGTCTTGATTCTTAATAAACAAGAGGGCTAGAGCCGATGGGCAAAAGAAAGGAAGGCGAGGAGTGAGAGGTTAGAGAAGGGGAGTTTTTGCATAGGAATGAAACTTTAACAAGGTTGGGAAATTGACAATTCTACTCTCTTCTACCTACTTGACTCTTTAATTCTATGCCTCTTAGCCCCCCCCTCCCCCCCCTTGCTATTATATGTGTACAAAATGGAGATGTAGAAGCAAATAGAAGATATAATGTACCTTTGCATCTATAAAGAAGAGGTGAAGAATATAGAGTTTTATACTATCACGGTAACACGATATACGCGGCAATTATATAGGTTATAAAAAAAAAGAAAAGCTAGAGAGTAGTTTAGACAAAGGGGGGATGTTGAAGGTGATGTGGGGAAGTGTATATAAAGTTGAAAGTAGAGAGGTGTGTATTATAGATATATTGATAAAACAATCTAGATAGCAATCTGAGTCAGTCTGGGTTGTTTTGGCACGGCTTTTAATCTAGTACAATCTAGTGGTCTATATTAGATAAGATTTCTTGTTTGTAATTTTAGTGTTTTGATGCTTTTTTCAGGGATTGGCTATAGGTATATTAGTGTTAGGGGGTTAAGAGAGAATAACTAGGTTGTATAGGTAAGTAGGGATTTAGGATGTATGTTAAAGGTGACAAGGAAAGTGGACAGGACATACTAATATCGTTTGGGAAAGGAAGTTAGCATGGTTGTTTGGGAGAAGAGATTAATATGACTATATACAAGGTTTTACGTGGCGAGTTCCTGGTTATCGTGTTTACATCCCCGTACATAGCGAGGCACGGGGAAAAAGAATACGAAAGTAGTTCCACCTATTCGTATATCCACATGCAACGTACAACCAAGGATAGCAAAACATCACAGGTAGCGACATGGCATGTTAATCCCTGCGATTTCGTCTTGAATATTCTTTTCGTTTTGATACTTAGTCTAAAGACATGGAATTCAGAATTCTAGACCAACACGCATGCCGGCCGAGAGAAAGAGAAATATGAGCTAGCCCAGCCAAGTTGTCAAAATGCAAGGGTATCCATATACGACATTAAGATAACAACCCGCAAACTCCCGAACTCTATAAACAAGTGCTGACGTGAGCTTTTTTGTTCGCCTTTAGTATTAAGGTTATATCTAAGGTTAACGCGGATACGTCGTATAAAACAACCGAACAAAAAAAAAGCGAGTATGCACTTTTTTAGTCTTAATTTCCCCTTTGGTATCTCAAATTACGATGTAGCCCTTTTTTTGTAAGGGTTGAAGAAATTGGGGGGATCTAAAATACACACACGTCACAGAGAGTCAGTGTTTCTTTTTTTCCCCAGCCTTGTGCACTAACACAGGATTAAGCCTAGCATGGGGTGTATATCTGCATTTTCAGGCCCCCCCAAAAACCGATAAACTCTACTAGCACTGACTTACACACATAAGGGTGAATGAGGTGTGGGAAAAAGGTCTCGCCACCCATCTTTCTACACCGCTCCTGTAATCTAGAAGGAACAACGTGTCATCGAAGAAATATAGCTTCTAGACAGTCTGGTAGTTAGTAGGGGGAAACGAAGAAGCGATCAGCCCACCATCATACTCAGACACACACACACACACACGCACCCATACTTCTACCCGCACACCACTCCATGCACACTACTGTACAACGCACGCTCGTGACTTGCCCCGCGTCCGGTCAGGAAAACCGAACAAGTCACCAGGGAAGCCATCAGAGCCGCCCCCCAAAAAAATCAGGGTACGGAAAATGGGTGCCTCAAGGGCGGTTTATTTTAGCGGCATGCGGAGAAGCCACCGTTAGCACCTTACTGGAAGCGCACTACGTTTGGCAGTTGGAAAGAAACAAAAAGAAGAAAAGAAAAGAAAAAAGTTCTTCGCTGTTAGGGTTCACCAGCCCTTCGTAAGCCCTTCTACGATCTGCAAGGCGCAAGGAAAAAAAAGAAAAAGAATGCAAAAGCAGGGTTTTGGCGTGCATGACCGTAAACCTTATGGTGAGTAAGTTCGCTCAGCTCCGAGAGGGGGATGTCACATGATACAGGAAAACCGAATCGTGCACATGTGTGTGTGCGTGTGCGCGCGGGGGGAATGGATGGATGCGCCTTTCTGTGATTAGGGTACTTTTGAAAGGCTCAATGGTCTCATGGGGAATCACGAATGACGCGCAGCGGAGAAGAGCCTAGCTGGAGAATCCATCGGCCGGCTGCGCCCTAGTTCGGGGGGGTTGATGGCTCGCTTTAGCTTTCTTCGTTACTTGGTTTGCAGCTCAATTTGGGGATGAGGGAGGGAACATACGTAAGTTTTGCTTAGTCGCCCGCCGGAAAAAAAACCCGCCAATCATTTGTGACAAGTTAGTTGGTGCAGATGACAGCGGGGAGCGTTGGAAGCGGATGTAGCCCGGGGGGTGGGAGGCTATGCACTTTCGACTATGCAGTCATCTTGGCTTTCGGGGTCCGGGGTTGACGTCACGAGAAAGGGGGTCGACTGTCACTGGTCGGGGTCGACTGGTCAACTGCATCGGGTGCGTCCCGTCTGCTTTGAAACATGTACGGCATTGATCTGATGGCGCAAGTAGACACGGTAAGCGAAGAATAGATGGCATTTCTCACTCCTTGACAGCGATTACCATGACATTGAGATGTTTCAACGTAGGGATTCTTGCCCCAACCAGGGAAAGACCATGCTAAATTTAAGCTCGACGTTAGGGACGTCTAGTGCAGTGTTTCGACACATCTGACGTACCATGATTTGAGAAAGGTCTAGACACCGAGCGGCCCGCAACGATCCCTTTCTGCCCATCCGCTATTTCTGAGCGGCGATTGACAATGGCTTTTCTCCTATCTGTATCGAATGCCACTACGAGTGCGACACGCAGGCGGGGGGTTCCCTGCGGGCGATCTGCATCATTTGGGGCAAGACGAGCGGTCACTAGCTGACTCTGCTTGGCCCGATGCAACGACGGAAGCGTAAATGCGAGGACTACTACTAGTAGCAGTCCTAATGTTTTTGGTGCCATATGTACACACCGTATTCCCGTATGCCTCAGCTTTGCTGTTCGTGAACGATATCTGAATACGGACATGGCCTGTCGATAATAACCGAGACAGACGGTACATGCAGGTGAGCTGTCACAATCGTCCGCACGCAGATCGCCGCAGTTTTTAGCTTCTCCATAATGTCTATCATCACATGTAGTTCGCTGTCGCGTGCAGACTCGGAAGTATCCTAGACCCCAGGCTAGTCGTCAATGCTTCAAGTTACGGTATGCGCCTCAAGGTTCTGACCATTGTCTGTCACACCATGTGCAATCAATACTGCACAGGATTTTTTTTGTAGTATTTGATATCCCGGCCAGCCTCGCCAAGCTCTAGATGGTGGGCAGGGTGATGCAAGGCGGGACTCATTGTCGGAGACATACTATTTGAGATCAGCGACGCCGTCTTCGGGCGGCTGTCACCCACAACCAGATCGGCGTGTTTATCCCTGATCCCGCGCCAAGAGATTTTGATGTTAGTGGTGCCGGGTTCTCTTTCGCTTGCGCTTCCGAGCAGGTGTAAGTAAGTAGGAGGCCTGTCGCCAAGAAAAGGGTTCTGGGATGGCGTTGTGAAGATGCGGGATGGCTGCAGCATCGACATGTCGCAACTCTCTCTCAGGCCGGATCTGCAGTCAGATTGATCGTCGTGTCTGACATGGCCACCCCTTGTCATCTCGACGACTCAAAGCAAGGCTCAAATACCTGTTTTAGTGCAATACTGGCAAGCGGAGCCGAACGACGAAGGGTTAATAGTGGAATGGTGGCTGTGCCGACGATCCCTGGCTGGGTGGACATTTAGTCTATCCATATGCAGGAACAGCGTCATAAGCTGGCTAGCCAGTGTCAGCTACCGAAAAAGCGCGCTAGCTGGAACACTTTTGGAAGGGCAATGCTGTGATTGGGTGAATACAGCCACCCAATAGCCCGTGGAAACTTCGGTACACAAGTACAGGAAAATCGACTGATGAGTTATTCGATATGACTCGCAAATATTCGGCATTCCCAAAATACCTGACTGATGTAAATTCGAATGCTCACAATAATGGTAATCGGCAGGCAACTGTTTTTGTGGTTCGTGTCGAGGACCATACATATTGAACACATTACTTGCATAAAGTTCTCTGGCAGATCAATATTCATCTGAATACCAATCTAGGCATAGTGAAGATAACCAAATATACACACATACCATTGTTGACAGATGTACAAGCGTCGGATCTCGGCTGGCGCATGTCGAATCGGCAAAACGACCAAGAGAGCAGAACCACAGGGCTGATGTGCAGAGAATCTGGGGCCAGGAAAGTGATCTCCGGAATAGCCCGAGTAAGGTGACGGGCATTATTGTGCATGAGGCCCTCGTGACGGTGCCAAATTGTGGCTGACTGGATGAGCATGCCACTCGTAGGCAGCAGCCAGTCGCCTGCGACGGAGATGGTTCCTACAAAAATATGTAAATGGAGTCGATCCTATTCGGCGTTATATCAGTGGAATTGGACGCCGAATTTATGTCGGATTCAGTCTCTGGTGCCTAGACGTAGTGGTGCAATAGAGTCTGTACAGAGCTCCTGGTCCAAAACAAGTGTCTTCCTTGTCACGGCGCAGAGATGAGATACCATCATAGAAAAGACCATATAGAGTGAACTAGCATCTTTGACACTCGTCTTTGAAATGTGTGAATGGCAATTCGATAGTGGACTTAAGGCGTCCAGGAATCGACGGAATAAGAGAGCGACCAATCCAGTGCGACCAACACATGGATGCTGATGTTTCACATGCTGGTAAGCTTTTGGTCGACAACAATAAATGGGTCTAGACAAACGTAGCGGGGAAGTATCGGCATCTGGGACAGTGGTAACATCAGAAATCATGCGGGACAACAGAGTGTCGCCTCACTGAACTTAAAGCGAATTCTGTGACGCCGTAGGTAGAGCGTCAAAGACGACGATGCACGCAAAAAAGCTTTTCCGCACTTCTTGGTTTGTGTGTGTTCAACAAGGTTTCCAGGCGTACAAACGTCGAGTGACGACGTTTCAGCGCAGTGCTTGCGAGCATGCTGTACATATGCCATATTGTCACTGCAAAGGTATCGTGATGTGCAGATGATGCGGTGCGTGATTGCTACAGTCGTCCCAGATACCGGGTAAATGATAATGTGGTGTTCATGAATGTCTGGAAGTTGGTTGATTGGAGAGTTTGTTGGCATGCGGAAGAATGAGTGGGGTAATTGAGATGCATGTACAGCACCATGCGTTGTGCGACTGTATCTGCATTCTTTTCCTTGTCCGTCGATGCTTCTACAGGGACTGGATTCCGCCCACGACAACCAATCCTTACGCATTAGTGGTTGACAAAGCAGTGGCGATTCCGAGAATGTGGCAAAAGATGTGCTTCGACGGCGATGTGTGAACCTCGCACAAGTGGCACGGGTACGCTTGCCAGTCTGGCCATTATCGTCAGGTTGCTTGTATCTGATCTATTCTTCCGATGGGGTTGTTCTACAAACATCAAAGCGGACCCCTTCATCTCGCAGGCGATCCGGTGTGCATTATCGCAAACAGGCGGTGTGATGAACGATCCAAGGTCTGGGGTACAAGATGGGGTGTCGCATCATGGAAATGCACCGATTAGCAATGCTGGCTGGTGTAGATCGTGAGGCTTCGGCTTGTGGTGAGTATTGGCACTAGGCCAAGCGCTTGGAAGTAGATTCTAGCGACATGCATGCTTCTAGGCGCACGACAACAGTGCTTAGGAAGCAATGTTTGTCTATATTACTTGAACTCTTAAGTTTGGAGGGCAGATTGAAGGTCCGTCTCAAATCACAAAAGGCGTCCGTGGCTTCCGTCTGGTGTAACAAGACCAGTCACGATGGGTGTACCTGGTGGGTAACAGAGACCGGTGAAAGGGCGAAGATCTAGATGCAAGAGACGGCGTCTTGCAAGGACAAGGTCACTGCACATGGTTTGCAGCAAAGAGCGAGACTCGGCTGTGGAGAAGTCCTAACACCGACTATAGGGAACCGTTGGCTAACGTTCCAGTATCGAGGCGATGGCTACGCTGGCGTAGAGTGACAGGCCCCTAGGCCATGGCGCAAGGGGAAGGTTAAGACTGGCTACGAATGATGGCTGCCCAGCAACAGGATTGATGGACTGTCAGGCGGGCCAGTTGCTGTTGTACGCTCGTGTGGCTGCTGTCGATGGTACGCGATAAGCTTGTGAGAGGGCGCGTGAAATGCATTGGGCTGGAAACGGCCAATTCAGGCAAGGCCTGGTGGTGTTGCTTCTGGTTAAATTTTTTTTCTTGCTAACGAAGGAACCGATCCCGAGCCAGAGGTTCGGCGTGCGGGCGGGATGATCATGGTGGACATGTTGAACAACAGCCAAGAGGGTGGAAGCGGGTTACGCGTGCACACGAGCCTGATAACGGTCGGACCAAGGAGGTAAGTACTTACATAGGCCAAGGCAGGCCGTGTGCTGGCGGCATGCACGGGTGCCGAATGCGAGAACAAGGATAGGGGCGAAGCGCGGTCGACGAAGGTTCGCAGACGCAGGCGCAGGGCAAAGTTTGGCGGGAGTGGTGGTGGTGGTGGTGGTTGGATGTTTTGGCTGCGACGGCGTGGAGTTTGGCGTGGAGTTGGCGGGGGGGGAGCGTCTCATCTTGTTTGTATGTATGACAGCGAGGCGGACGAGGGAGTATGTCGGTCATTTCCAGGCTGATAGTAAGATGGATTTGTGTTTGATCGGCCGGCTAGCGGGACGTGGGATCAGCACCGGACGGGGAGACGCGACGCCGAGAGAGGCATGGCGGCGCCATCCCTGCCGTCTATCATTGAGGCGCAGAGACGTCGTCGCACTATGCCCAACCTGCCATTAGCAGTCGCTCTGCATGCAACTGACATCTGTCACTTGCAGAAGGGGCCCGTCGACTTGCAATGGATGGCATGGCATGGCATCGTGTTGGCTGTGGTCATGGCCGTGGGTGCGAGCGAGCCAGTGGCCGGCTTGGCCGGGCTCAAGGGGCGTCGTGGTTAGTATCATCGGTTTTGTTGTTGGCTTCCCTGTCAAATTTGGCCAGGCTGTGGGTGATGTGTACTATGCACGTAAGTACATGTGTCAATGTACATGTGTAGCAGCCATGCATGGACAGACACCGGAGCCCTGTAGTGGGCAGGGTAGCAGCAGTAGTAGTAGCAGTAGTAGCAGTAGTAGTAGCATCAGCATCAGCAATACTACCACCACCACTACCACCATTCCCAGCATCATCCACCTCATCATCATCGTCCCCATTAATACCACCAGACCATGTGCAGCTGATTCAGGGTCCACACAGGCAACGTCTAGTCGTTCCCAGAGTAGCCAGGCGTAGACAAGACCATGACCATGACCATGACCATGGCCCGGCGGTGGATCATCTCCCGCTCGACACGGCCGAACCAGAGCCGGCGACAATGCACTGTCGTGCCAATGTCGACTGTCGCATGTCGCAACTCGGCGGGCGTGGGCTGTCGCTCGAATTCCTATTCCTGTCGCACGGCGAAAACGCCTCTTCGGCCTTCCCAACGCTCGCAGTCGCAGCTCTAGCGCCTCTTCTGTGTTGCCTCGACACACCCGCACAAGTCCTGCCCCCCGGATGCTGGTACGCCTCCGTCGCACAACTGTCGACGCCCTTCAAGCCACCAGCCTGGTTGAGTGCGGCGGCAGCTGTCTGCCGGCTATCGTGCCTGGTGCTGCGTGACATGTACCACTCTGCCTTCCAGTCGTCGGGTACCTGGCTGCCCCTCACCACTCCCACTGCTTGCTCTTTCAACATGCCATCATGGCCGCCTCTATTCGTGCTCGTGCAGACGGTGCATCGCCCACCCGTACCACTCACTACTACTGCTACGATGACTGGGGGGCACGCGGTAATAGGAGTCGAGGACATCGATGCAAGCTAGCGCCGTCCAGCTAGCACCCCGCAAATGCTGCTCCTGAGCCGCTCCTAGTCCACATCGTAGTCTGTGTTGTTGGCGTTAGTGCTGGTTACTATTTTGTTTTTTGTTTTTTTTTCTGTCGTTGTCATGTTGGCCCAGGGTCCAAGGTCGATACACAGGCACAAACTCTATGCAATGAGCGGACATGGCCTGACAATGGTCAAGGGATGAAGAATGAGAGAGAAAGAGAGACAGAAGGCGCACCTAGAAGGGGGCCCTGTACCAGCGAGGGCGAGGCGCGCGTGGAGCAGAGGGTATTTGCTTGGCCGTAGCCCGCTTTTTTTTCTCGCCGTCATGGAACGTTGTGGGATGGCTGCGGCGTCGAGTGTATGGGCATGCCGAGTTGGAGGACGCAAAGGGCCAGAGGCAGACGACACCCTGGTCCGTTTCTGCGGCGAGTCAGAAGCAGCCAGATCTGCGACGATTCGAGAGGTGTGGAGACACCGGGCGACGCTCAATGGCGCTTGCAGCAGACGGCGCAGCTTCAGCGCGCTGGCTCGTGCCTCGAATCTGCGGCGTAGGCGGAGGGTCTCTTGTTTCCTACCTAACCCTACCCTCGGCCTCTATCCGGCCAGAGCCTGCAATGTGCACGCTCGGAGAATATAGACCAAACCTTACCCTCACCTGTCAAGTCTACACACGTCTTGCTAGCCGCGCTGCCTCCCTGCTCATTGGCCGTCACACGCTGGCCCCCCTGGCTCATTTTGCTCGTGCTGCACGATCAGAGTGCATGGTAAAATCCACGGCCCGTTGCAGTCCTGCTTGGCCATAAACGCCTCCTTTGCCAATCCGACTTCTTCTTAAACACCCGTCCACCCGTCATCACCACCCCAGCATCCCGTCCTTGTCCCCTACCATTCGCTGTGTGCTTGCGCCGGCTCCCTTTCCGCTCCCATCCCCGCTGTGGCTCTGCCTTTGTACATTCTTCACCAACCCCCATTCACGCCCTCTGTACCATAATAGCCCCCGAGCCCGCTGCCCGCCCCGCATATATCTGCCATCTACATTCCCTGGTTCGCCCGCCCGGTACTGCCCCCCCTACGTTGCCTCATCCAGTTACCCGTTACATCACCACCTAGATACCTGGGTAAGTCGCCCTTCCCTTCTGCTCTCTGCCTGCCACCCCGCTCGTGTCTGATGGCATTCAACGGTGCCAGTCAACGGTGCCAGTTGGTCCTGGTACCAAGCTGTCACCAACTATGGATGAGCAAATGGCCCCGTCCACTCACCATCGACACATTGACATGCACTGCTCTCTGTTGCTAACGCCTGCATTTGCTTCTCCAGAGTATTTAACCATCCCACACTTGCCCCCATGGAATATCTTACCCTCCAAGATATTCCGCACCGCCACTGTGAACCACTGCACTCGCGCAAGATGAACTCGTCACATTCTGCAGAGAGTCCGCTGGCAAACATGGTTGCTGCGGTAAGTCACGATTCTTCTTCTGCCACTTTGGCTGCTTCCTCTTCTACTGCCTCGATGGCTTCCCCTACACCTTTGTCTCCTCCCCCTTTCCTCGAGCCTGCCCTCAAGCCCCCATCACCCCCACTGCCCGGCTCCTTCCGCGCCACTGCAACTGCACAAGTACAAGCACAAGCACACGCCCACCAAGACAAATCCCCCGGCTGTTGCCCCCCTCCGCTTTCTAGCTGGAATCAAGTCATGGACCACCACCACGAGCATGCTCAGGACAAGGTCCTGAGTCGCTCTCTTTTCTTTCCCCACCAATATCATCATCATCCTCATCCTCATCAGCGGCACACTCCACCACCCCCACCAAAGAGACATTCCAATCTCTACTCAGTCATCACCTCGCACTCCTCGGAGCAAATCCATTCCCACAACGACAATGACACCGACCCTGGTGCGCGCACCTACCAAACACAGCAGCCAACTTCACACACAAGCAGTAATCTGACAGAAACCCAGAACCATCACATGCGCAGCTCTCCACCAATTCAGCCTGGAGAACAAAGCTTCCCCGGCAAGCTTCCTTCTTTTTCAGAGGTAAACCCAGCTTTCGCATCCGACCACATCTGGGCACTGCTGACTTGTACAGTTTCTTCACACCACCCGAACCACCACACCACCAAGGACACCCCAACGTCGACATGGATCGGCCGACAGCTCTCCTCATGCGCAGCCCCACTTTGACGAGGTAGCGTGGGCCGACAGCAAACGTAGGCGTGTCGACACGCTTGGTGACATCTACGCTCGCGGTAGCATCGAACCGTCTTTTGCTGAGCCTCGCCGCATGAGCAGCGCCATCGACCCTGCCCTTTCCGGCTACTCACCCCACGTCTCCCACCAGCACTCCGTACAGCCTGTACCATCAGCCTATTCTCACCGTGCAACTCCTTCCTACCCGCCACCTCACCAGCAAGCGCCCCCAATGAACCCCCATGTCCGCCACCAGTCTTCGCCCGTTCCTCAAGGCCAGATGCCTTTTGCGCAGCCAGCAATCCACCAGCCAATCGCTCAGAACCCTTATCAACCACCCATGGTTCAACAGAGCTACTATCACGACCACCAGGCAGCCGCCTACAGCGGCTACGAACGGTCCCAGGATTCCTACTACCCTCGAGCTTCCTACTCTGGTTACGATGCACCCTATGGCGGCGACATTCGCTTCCAGCACAATGTCGGTCTTGACCACAGTGCATTCAACAGAAAGCGAAGAGGAAACCTACCCAAGGAGGCTACCAACCTACTCAAGGACTGGTTTGCGGCGAACCGTCAGTCGCCCTACCCAACAGAAGATCAGAAAATGGAGCTTTGCAACCGTACTGGTTTGAGTCTCAATCAGGTAAGTCGCCATCCTCCAGCCAAAGTGTCAACTGTGACACTTTTACTACATGTGCCATTTCTGTCTTTCAGTGTCGTCTGATTTAGACGGCAGCGTGCTTTCGGGCCGTTGAACGACCTCAGATCTGTCTTGTGGGACCTTTTACAATCTTGCTACGTGCTACCGGACAAGTGACTGACAAGATTTAGGTATCCAACTGGTTCATCAACGCACGCCGTCGGGCCCCACAAAAGGAGCAGCGCGAACGCGAAGCCAACGGATCTGATGCATAGACTCGCCCGGCCCGCAAGTCGCTCGGAAGTGGCGCCTTATTCTTGCCATACGTCGTCCATTACTAGCCCTTTACTTAGATTCAGTCACGGGTACGATCCCACCACACTATTTTCACTTCTTTGCGTCATTGGCGATCTGGTTGAACCAAAATTTCCTTGGCGTTATTTCTTATCCATGTATTTTTCTTTCTTTCCATCTATCTCTAGGCGATTTCTTTTCATATTATTCAGGCTCAGCATAGGCACTAAAGGTTTTACAAGCGTTTACTGGGTGCAAGAGACACCCGGGATTTTTCCTAACGTTGAATACCCTGGGACCCAAATAGGAGGATACATTTGCATGTTGGGAAACGGAGTATCGGAGACTGCTGCGCTGCAGCCGTACACTGGAGGTATCAATGGATTTGTTTGATTTTGCCATAGCTCCAAAATCATCCTTCCCACATATCCTAATATCATACACAAGAATTTTCCATACTCGACGATGACTTTTGACCATGCTTTCGTGAGGCGTGAGGTTCACACTGATTGACAAATACCCTTCCCCAGGCACCGGCAACATGAAACAACCAAACTGGCAACTATTGCGATGCATGGCGATGGACCCCAGGCGTTGGACTATTGATTATCTAGCGCCTACAAGAAAAAAGGACCCCAACCAAATGGCCAGATTTGGTTGTATATGGCTCCAGACTGGCCTGATGAGGAAATTTCCATCGCCAGATCTTTGCAGACTTAGTGATAGCCATCACGCTGTCGACGCTATGCTCGAAACGCGATGAGAAGTTCCGGTGTTTCACCAGCTAAACTCAAAACGTAGACGCACAACGGTCAACCTTTGAGCGCAGCACAGAAGCCGTTGGTATTTTTGGAGGTTACCGGGAGCGCGGCATGGAACCACTCCGGGAAAGTGTCGGAACAAGTTGAGCCATGACACGTTTGGAATTATTGAAATCCCACAGGAGAGCACGGAACATGCGTTGCTCGCGTTCCCTGTCTTTTTTCTCTTTCTCTCGGCTCCTTGAACCGAAGCAAACGAGGCAGCTCAGCCCAGCCAGCCAGACTCGCAATGCGCCCCACAGCTAGAGTTTAAATTTCACAAATCAATCACATCCGGTGAAGCGAAGGGCGAGGTTTGCATTAGAACCCTTGCCGGAGATCGTCAGCAAGGATGCCACCACTTGGGGACTGGCGTGCACGATGCCTGCGTCAACCCTGGGGGATCGGAGCCAGGACGTGCTGGTCTGGCCCGATGCTAAGATGATTTTCCCTTTCGGCTAGTAAGCCATCCCTGCACCCTCTTATTCTAATAACCTTGATATGACCAGGTTGACGCTCATTCGTCTCTCGTCCAACCTGTCATTCCTAGAAACAAATAACTGATCATGGCCATCATGACCTTGCAGGGATCCCACTTCTTACCAGGGAGCCCGTCGGATGCACTCACGCGCCCCGCCGCACCTTGAAACCAGTCACATACGGGAAGCATGATGCGACGCCGGAAACATCTGCTCGCTGGCGCCATTTTCTTTTACAAATCACTTGACACGCCTGACAATTTTGACAACGGTCGGGGAAGAGAGGCGCAAAGGATGTTGCTTAAAAAAAGCGTCCTGATGTTTCAGGCCAGTTTCTAGCGCATGTCACCTTCATTGCAAACTTGCAACTTCAACCTTTTTTAAACCCACCTTGTTTTGGCCGTCAACCTGCTTAAATCTGACAATCAAAACGAAGTTGTGTTGATCGGAATATTAACGCAGAATCGCCTGATACTTGCATCCCCTTATCACATCTCGTGCCCCAAACGAAAGCCCGCCAACCCCCCGAACCCCGGCTCGGCCCCAGACCTTTTTGCCTCTTCAATCTCCTCGCCTTTCGCGACAGCGTTGCTAGGTTAACAGTGGGACTCTACCATGTAGAGAACCCATGGTTCATATGAAACGGTTATTCTGTGGAGGCAAGGCAAGGCGAGGCGAAGGGAAATACGAAAAATCCCATCACATTTACACCTATACAGCAGAATAGAAAGAAATTGCTAACCTTTTGTAGCAAACGCTAACATTACATGCATATAATCTACAAAGCATAGCAAAGAAGCCCTTGTCCCCGGTCTTTGCCCGCGAAATAATCCTAATCAAGTCCTAGTCCATGCAAATCCTCACCTCATTCCCTATCTCTTTGCTCCCCGGCCCCGCCTTCCATTCTCTACGACACAACCCAAGTTTCAACCGTCGTCCGCACAAACCACACGTCCACATGTCACCTTCCGTATTCCCTCATCGCTTCCGCGCCCCGGATTTTTCTCTTTTCCAAACACTGACTCGACAACAAAAAAGATAATCCCCACGCGGGCATAATCGGAGATTGCAAAGAAAGAAAAAAAATGTCGGTTATGGAACCATACAACATATACGGCGTTAAGAAAAACCCCATTTTAGATGACGATCGCCCCCCAACCACCAAAATTGCCCATGTTCATTGCACATCTTTGCCTCCAAATGGTTTAAACCACCACACATTTCGCGCATTTCCCCCCCCCCTTCCCGCCCCCTTCTTCCCGTTGCCCATCACCCGCCGCACACGCGATGCTCGTCGCTTGCTTACTTTTGAACGGGAAATGTCCGGGGCCCCCCGTATTCGCTTCCTATCTTCCTATTCCATCCATCCATCCATCCATCCATCTAATCCGTCGATATGACGGTCGGAGTTCGCTGATTTCCCACCCCGCCAAGTCCCAATACACACACACACACACATCATAACCCGATATACTGGATACGCACAAGTCAAGTGTGACTTTGACGATAGCAAATGGCAAGTTCCGTCACGTAGTTAAACCCGTGGGGTCTGGACTTACACCTATGCCGATCCCTCTGCTTTTGTAGGAAGGCAATGCGAAAACGAGAAAAAAAAGGTTATTTTCGTGCCTTTGCCGGTCCTTTGATTGGAGGGTGTGTGTGTGTGGATGGAATGGGGGCGTTCCGTGGGAAACGTGGGTAAAAAGTTAGGTTTCTGCATAACCCACGTGGGTTGGGTTGGGTTGGGTTGGGGGGGGGGGATTTTATCCAGGTTTTGCACCTTTTTGTGCTGGGAAGCATGGCAGGAAGGGGGGGATGCTTTGCGAAGCACCAATGGTTATTAAGGTGCGGTTTGAGTCGAGTAGGATCTTGATACTGCTGTAGCATGACGAGAATGCGACGATGCTGTCTCTCCTGTATGGGGGGCTGTCGCTCTCTTTGTTGATTACACATGTCAATTTCATTCACGTTTCGCGCCAGAAGGTTCATCATAGCATGCAATACATCATCGGTGCTAGCAGCATCTGGACTTCGTCCAAGGAAGTTTGGGCCGCGATATACGATTACCCGCTCTTTTTTTTTGGGGGGGG